AGACCAACCAGTTCTTCTTGCCATGAAGTGACCTTAATTGATACCGATACAAAGAAAACCGTACAGTGCATATCTTAGCAGGTGAAAGCTAGGAAACTCAGCGCAGATCGGCTTGTTGGGGCACTTTGCTGGCTTCCATTCGATCACTACCGATGCTTCCTGTGGGGATCTGTAACACCCGCATAGTTACACTCCTTCTCCCATTTGGGAAGGGCGTGATTGCAATTTCATTCGAAGAGTGCGCTTGGGGTGATGTCGCTTTGGAACAACTGCAGTCTGCCTTTGTTGAGACCAACACAGGATGAAAGCTGCTTCAACAGCATCCTACGCCATGTTCATATGAAGCTCGCAGCCACGTCCACCCTATCTCCGGGTTGTGGAATCCGAGCAAGAGTTGAGCTACGGTCAGCTTTGACAAGTCTAGAGGTCTTACTCAGCTGAGACGTGTAGATTGACGGAACTAGCAAGAGTGCAAAACGTCCCCCCTCCAAGCCGAACAGAGCCGAAGTAAACCTTTTCTATTCTCACCTGCTCATTAAGTTTTGTGATCTTATCACGCAAGTTTCTAGCAGCTTCACTGAGTCCTTCCTGGTTAATGTAATCCTAAATTCGAACACATAGATTTTCACGATATACTCAAATAGGTTAAAGGACTATTTTGTAATCTATGAAGAAATCACCTTGAACGAACGAAGGTCAAGCACACGATTCAGCACTAAACCAAGAATTCCCAATTGATCTTCCGGAGTCAGTTCCCAGAGTTCCTTGTCGGGCGTAAAGCTGTCAAGGAAGGTCTTGCACACATCCTGAAGGAAAAACTATAGGATTCGAGAAAAAAAAATCAAAAAATTGCAATTGATCAGATCAATGCAAAACACACTATATCGATCTGTGACATGTCGTTCACTTCACATGGAGAGTTACGACCACTTTCAACAGCATTCTCCCATCCTCCCATTCGGAGTTCGTGAACGTCAATGACGTCGACGTCGTTGCATTCGCGAATTTTTCTGGAACACTGAATGTGAGAACAAAGGAAAAACCTCCTGTACACTGCACAAGTTCACCAACTATCTCGATTGAGATGAGCGTAATTCGGGGGGAGCCAAACGCAGGCTCGAACCGCGCTGCTCACGCCAACAGTCCACAATGATGAGTACTGTACCTTGTGGAGACAGTAAAACTGCTACTAACAGCAAAATTGCTACCAGCTTTGGCAAATTGCTGTTCGAACAGCTATTAGGGGAGGATAAAAACGAAGACGTGTACATCCCCCAGCAAGCCATTATCTAAGTAGTATCGCTCCCAATAAGCTATTACAATTCTCAGTCGCAGTCAGTCGTAGAGTAAAGCGTGCAGGATTCAAAAGCGAACTGTTTACGAAGAGTGCTCTGCTTTATCACATGGGTGGAAGTATAACAAAAACTCACTCGTCCAAGCCCGTACTTCCAATGAGAAGAGCACGACACAGTTCAGATACTGTGTTATTCTCAATTGAGAACTCGTGAAGGCGAACATTGAAATGGGAAAGATTCTGAAAGCACCAACAAGGACATTTGGTCAACAACTGCAACTGCCCATCACATCATAGGAAAACCTTGTTACCCCGTATTCCGGATCCTGCAGTAAAGTCTTCAGCAGTGAACCAAACAGCTTCGCGGTGCACTTCATAAAACCTGGTCTTCCTTCATGAACGGCATCAAAAAGTTGCTCTGAAGCAGAATGAGAAAAACAGTTTTTTGAATATATTTTCAGCGCAACCTACTACGGCTAATGCTATTTCTACATAAGGTTAGGAAACGTACTGGCTGTGATCTTATGGTCCGCTTCGATGAACTTCTTCAATGAAGAAAAGAACTGAGTAAACACTACGCAGTCAGTTAACAGCAACGATTGCCCGCTCGGAACTGAGACAGGTCGACCAGGACATGGTAAAGCTACATCGCTAACAACAATGTCCTCCTCGGCAATTTCCTGAAAAAAATACGTCATAAGTTTGGGACAACAGCCCGGATACAGTACCCCAAATCGCACATAAAACCGAGCGCGGAGTAGCAGCGAGTGCACACAACACCATCCAGCCTTTTTCGTAGAACACAGGCTATGGCTTGGGTAACTAAATTGGCTTACGGTATGCCCGATTGCGTGCAATCACAAAGAAACAGTCAATTTCACGCGCAATTTGGCAGCACTGTATCCCGCCTGTTCTCCAGTTTTGATCGTGTAGAAAAAAGACCGTCAAGTGGAAACCCTGAAGAATGAAGAGAAAGCAGCAAAGTTCCTGACCTGACTGAAATAGGCCTTGATCTTCGCCAGCATGATTTTTTGGTGTTGATGTCTTTGTTCACGCATCTTGTCCCGGAATGCTGCTCGCTCCTCTTTCGTCTTCATCTTCTTCCTGAAGAAAACATTTTTTCAACTGCGGCTCACCAACTAGATCGCGTTCATACCATGCGAATGTGAAAAATACACCACTCGAAAGGTAAGACGGACAAGACAATCGTGTTTTGCCGCGACTGCGCGCAGCGCATAGCGCTGCAGTGCACGACTGTTTTTCGGAGTGCATCATCACCATCATCATCAGGTTGCCAATTCGAGGAGCATACCTATGGAACTGAGTAGATGCAGGACTCCATTCCGAGGGATACCGACTTCTCCCCTCCCCCCCCCCCCCGTACCTTTAATTCGACTTCGAATGACCGAACAGGGAAACTCGTCTCTCTTGTGCGCGGCGTCGCTTACCACGATCCGGGGGCGTACTGCGTTTGCCTTGTCACGCACCTACTCGAGAATGCGGGAATCGGTGAGAAGGCGCGGATTCTCCGAAATCGCTAGTGGGCGGAGTCAGGCTGATTATGCCAAACCTACCGCCACCGATTCTTCGCTATTGCTCATCGAACGCGCTTTATTATACATTACAAAAACCGAACTTACAAAGTTTCAGCATCCTTGACCTTGTCGTAAGCCTTTCGCACCGCAAATCGATGACATTCGTGAGGAATCTTATCGATCTGAACTCCAGAGAGGACCTTTTGCAGCCCAGGCTGCTGCACTGATAAATTCCTGAACCAGTACTTTTAGTTAAATTGCATCGCATTCTCAGAAGTCTATTGACTACCTGCTCGTCCCGCTTCCGCCAAGCATCTTGCAGTTTACTTACAGCAGACTTGAACCTTTTCTCGCTACGTTTCTGAGGCGTCAGAAATGGAGTTCCCGTAGCTTCACCCGATTTATGCTCACCATTAGCACCTCCAGCACAGATAAACTTGGTCAGATCCTGAAGAAGCATTTCATTTACTCAGTAAAAATGACAGAGCTACTGGAGTTGACGGGGCGCGTTGCGTGACAATGCCACGTCATGACATTTACATTGATATAGCAGGTGCTCTAAAATAATTGCGGCATATATCGGATGGGAAATCGCTAGCAAGTAGGAAATAGGGTACAGCATCGATGTAAATGTCATAGGGGCGGGGGGTCGTATTTTTCGGTTCAGGAGGTAGGGTTGTATTTGTTGGAAGGAGGGGGGTCGTATGTGGCTTTGAGAGAAATTTGCCGCGTTGGGAAAAAATTTTTCCTGGTTGTTGACTTTTCGTGATTTCCCCTGTTTCATGTGTATTATATATCCCCCTCCCCCGCGGTCGACAGCAAAATTTTGGGAGATGTAGTAAATTTTCGGGAAATTCCGGGAGAAGTGGTACGAAGTAAGGGGAAAACCTTAGAAATTTATTTCTGGGTGATAAACTGGAAAATGTGGAACATTGGTAGGTAGCTGCTGGGGGAGGGAGTGGGATCGTACCGAGACCCTCATTTAGGTGGGAGGTCGTACTGACACCCTCTCTCGGAGAGAGGAGTCGTACCTACACCACCATTTCACACATCACGATGCTGTACCCTGGTAGGAAATGTGCGGACGAGAGAGCGCTCATTTTGCGACACAGTTTCTCGGGTTTTCGACGACTAGGAAAGCATAGATATCGATCCAGCATTCGCTTTCGCCAGCGCTTTGAACGTCTACTAGCGTTTTCCGCCGGCGTTTTCAAGGGTTACAAAAGTTTAGGTATCGATATGGGGTTTTGAGCATCAACAGCGAGTTGAGCGTTTAAGAGTATAGGTATCAATCACAGCTAAAAACTCAAAACGCAGCCGCAAAGTGTGAACGCTCTCTGA